GAGGGACAGAGAGAGGAAGTGAAGAGAAGGAGAAGAGAGGAAATAGAAAAAAAAAATAGGTGGCTAGAGAGAGCTCAGCTTCTCCTGAGTCAGGGCATTGTCAGGAGATAGTTTTTCTCCTCTGAGGACTTCATCAGTGGAAAAAAGGGACAGTGATTGGGCCAGTGGATTTTTCTAAACAAATAAGATTTATACAAAAACATTGTTAAAAAAGTGCAAAAAGCACTATAGGTGGATGGATGCACTAAGTGAACATTACTATTGCACTTAAAAATAGATTCCTTTCAACTGGTGGTGTCAGTCAGGTGGTGACTTCTTTGGTTGCTAAACAAAGTAGTAGAATACTTTTTTAAAAATAATTAATGGTCTCCATTATGGAGTTTAAATCATACCTAACACTTGACTGTAACTTATTTAGTAAACTATGGTCACATTTAGTGTTAAATGGATGGCTACCTGCCTGGTGAATGACAAATAGCTACCAAATGATCATGCAGTGTCAGTCACACATATGATGCCTAGTTTCTACAAACCGAGATGCTCAAATTGAGACTTCACAGCAAGATTCTGCGGCCCAGTTGGTGACAGTGGCTATATCTGTTTTTTTATGTGTGGTATGTGGCAAAAAGGCTACAAAATCAGCATGTACAAAACTGGGTGGCTGTAGCTCAGGAAGTAGGGCAGGTCACCTGCTAATGGCAAGGTTGGTGGTTTGAGCCCTGACTGCTCCAGTCTTTGGGCAAGATATTGAACGATTAGTCGCTCTTTGATGGGTTCATCAGGGCATGAATGTTGTAAATTTATAGAAGCTTGTTTCTGCCACTAAAAACCTTTTTTTTAACCATCGGTAGTTTAAAATCTGGTTATCTAAAAATGTCAACTTAATTCAGTTTTCAAGGTTTTTTTTTGTTGTTGTTGACTTTGGGTTATTTTTTCAGCATTTTGAATTAGTAAGTGTCAAACCCTAACCCTAATTAAGTTAGTGAGTCAAAATTTTGAGATATCGAACTCAAAAGTTTGAGACAATAACCTGAAATTTCAACATAATAATCCAAAACTTAGACTTACGCATGTCAAACATTTTTCTCAGCACTGGAAATGAGCTCCTATGCAAATGCGTGTCTAATTAATATATAATATGACAACAATTTTTTGCATTAATGAGTATCCAAGTATCAATTTTTCTGACCAACCTTTCTAATGCAAAAAAGAACCCACTGCATTTTCACAATTTTAGTATAAAAAAGTATTGTTTTACCCTAGTAAATAGAAGAATATGTTTGTTATTGTTTAAATAAGGTACATAATTTAAATCAAAATTCACAACACAAACCAACTCTTGGTGCTTGGGTGTATCCTGAACTATTTTTAAATGACCAAACCAACAAAGAGTAAAAAAGAACAAAAAGCAAACGATAAAGACTTTGTTCGAGTTCATGACTGAGTGAACGAACATCTCTTTTAGTACACTGTACGCATCTCTGCATGGCTGCAGAGTTAAGTGTCCACTGGGTTCTGTTCCAGACAGATGAGGCATGTATCATCCTGCTGCGCTGTTTGCACCCCATGAAAAAAAAAAGACAGAGCTGGGTGTGTGACATTCTCCCTCGCATCCACACTGCCACCACAGCAGTGCTTGGCATCACTGCCAAATGCTCCTTCTACTCGTCTTCCAGCCCTGCACAAGCATGATACCTCCACAGAGAGAAAAACAGCGACAGTATGTGAAATAGATACATTTTTTATAATTTAAAAAGAACAACAGCTCAGAGCAGTTCTATATGCTGTTTCCTGTCATAGACAGCCAAAAATGTAAGAGGCACTTCCTCGGCAGGAGTTGGCCAGGCTTCTCAAATTGGTTTCTATGCTCCCAGGCCTCCATCCAGTTCACTATTGAATTACACTCACTTGTTTACCATTTTCTACACATAAGAGAACAAAAACAGCTTAAAGCAAAAGGGGAAGCAATGTATAATATGAGTGCAACACCAGGAGCCCAGCAGTGTCATGTCTATGTCCTGGTAGCTCAAAGATAGTGTTGGATGAAGAGAGGAAAAGAATTCAGTCTGGATTTGATGTCTGTGGTTTGAACGTGCGGCTTGTCAAAGGTTTAAGAGCTAAGTCAGGTATGTTTAGCTGTCTTTTAACTAATAGTTAAACATTTTATTTATCACACATGTCTGTAGTTTTGACTTCTTGCAGAAGGCTCTAATGTTGTTACTAAACCATGATTAGTTCATGTTTTTAGAAACTGACTCTATACTGCCTAATAATTCCCTTGCACAAATCATATACTGTGTATTTCAACAAATTCCAGCTCTTTGTTTAAACTACATGATCCTGAGCTAAATAAGTAAACCCAACACAGTGTTTTTATGGCTGCACCATTCGCATGGTATCATTGCAGGTGTGTGGCATATATTCTTATACACATTTCCAAAACCTGTACTTGGTGTCTTTCAGACTGACATCCAAAATAAGAAGTTGTTGCAAAATGTAATTAATGATTGATGTCTTTTACACGTTCACATTCCATCTTTTTTTTAATCTTAACTGGATCATTTTTAGTCTTTCAATTGCAACAATGTTAAAATCATAACCTGTTTTGTCGATACAGTGTCATTTAACTTAAGTAACCTAAACAATCAAACACCCGCTTTGCATTTATAACCCATTTGAATTGTTCTAGTTTTGGTCGAGATGCAAATCTTCATTTTTTACACTGATTGATTGATATTTTCTGTTTTTTGAGACAGATGCCTGATGGTGTGAACAGTCTGTAGACTTAAAGGCAGTTACAGTTTTTCTTCCAAATGACCTAAAATGTCATCATTTTCTTCTTCTCCCACTGCTATATACACTTTCATAGCCCACCCTTTTTATTATACTTTCACATTTCCTCTCGGCTTTTATCTGCAAGTATTGTCCTCTGTGGTCCATTGTTAAAAATCCTTCCATATGCTCAGCTCCATCGGAGCAGGTGGCAAACCACAGGTGGAACTTACACCTTCACTTGGACTGGCATCCATCCCATGAACCAAAAGAAGTTGGCTTGCTAACTGTGGGATTGGGGATGGGGGGTAGAGGATAGGATGGAAGAATGGAAGGTAGTATCTCTGACCTTTTAGTAGCCTTAAGGAAGGACAGATATCCTTTATTTTGTTAAACTCCTTTGTGAATAGATGAGAGCAATTACCTTATTTCCACTCTTTTGTATCACTGGATTTCAAGAATGGATTAAAAATTGCTGTATAGCAGTTTCACTAATCACATTTTACCATGTTACAGATTTATTGGAGAAAAGGAATTAAGTGGGATCACAAATACAGGATGAGGGGGCTGTGTTTAAGGAACTAATACTGGCAGATAATAAAATTCTGTGATTTACTTCTCTGAAAACAAATTATAAAAAGCATTATGCCAGTTCTCTGGGATATTGGTGACATTTAAGGCTACATTCACAGTTATAAACCTGGAACTTTTGCTAAATGCACAGGTATTAAATTCTATTACAGTTCTCATTTAGTATTCTGTAATGCTACTGATAGAAAAAAAAGTGTTTTCAGTCCCAGCTGTGTTAGTACACACTGCCTTAGGCTAATCGTTATGTGTTGTACAAAAAAAAGAAATAGACTCAAAGGCCTCACAGAATGTGCTGGACACTTATCTTATATTTTATTCTATCCTCAAGTATGTATTTATTAAAAGAAATGAAATTGAAAAATAGATCTGGAAAAATAACATTGACACTATTTGAGTATCTTTTTTGCTTTTCTGAGTACTCGGGTATGTCAAAACAGTCCCCAGAACTCCGTCTTCTGTCCATGTTTCTCAGACACTAAGGGGTTTGCTAGTTAGATGAACTTTAGCAAGGGAAGCATGTTGAGGGGGTGGAAGATGTGACAGGAATGCTAAGCTTCATAAATGGATAAAATAATCCCTGTATGGATGTGTTGACGATGTGCCGTGAATAAAAGAAGTGGTAGGGACAGGAATGGATGAGAAACAGCTCAGCTTCAGCACATTAATGACCTCCAGCATCTTGATGATAGCTAATATTCTCCAGCTGCCTCTCTCTTTCTTTTACTGAGATGTAATTTCTGCAAAGGCACAAAACACAGTAACAATAAGTCCAAAGTGGTTTTTTAGGCGTGCCATAATCTTTGCTGTACTTTAGAACATGGTTGCTATCTCTTGAGTAATTCAATTTGTTCCACTTTGAAGACTGTGCCTTTTCCTCTATTTTGGGAATACATGTTTGCCCTTGGTATATTGTCTGAGACTATTAGAAACCTATCATTATAATTCCTCTAACTAAGTAGTATTTGTGATAATTCTCACAATCTTAAGAGATTGTACACTGAAAGTATTATTTCTTTTCTTTTTTTTTTAAATGATAGCTTATCCAAAATATCACAATTACCCCTGACAGCAACATCCATTTGCACATGTGCTTTGTTTGATCCTGTGTGACAGTGAGACATACCAGTCTCTATGTAATGGCCTCATCGGTCTTGTTTACAGAAAAGTAATACTGTGCTGACATGCAGGCTGAATGAGTACGCACAATGCAGTGGCAGTCTGATTTTTCACACTGTTATTTAATAGGACAGGGCATCAGCATGGCATTTCATACAGGTTCTAGGGCTTAAAAATTCAGAAATGTGTTATTCCATACCACTGCTTTTACCTTTAACCTTGTCCTGCTTTATGTTTTTCGATAGCTCATTAATTAATCTCCAACTGACTGTTGGACAGCAGAAAGAACAGGAGAGCATCTGGACCAACATCAATTCATTAATGATTTATTAACATTTTAACTGCAAACTTGAAGGCTTCTAAGAAGTTAGATTTGATGAATTCATAACTCCATGACTGCAGTAGAAATCTCAATGTATGTGTTTGTTGCTGATTTACTGATGTGCATGGGTATGCAGAACAAGAATCTGTTTTGTTTGTAACTTACTGAACCATCTTTCCCCCTTATGCCCTCATAACAGAAAAATCCACCTACGATGCCTCAGGCTCCTCACCTTTACCGAGCGACTCAGCAGTCACAGGCGTTCCTGCTCACCCATCGGCTGACCTGTCAGTGGCTGAGGAGGTGCCTTTCCCAGTTGTCCATTCAGACAGTCACTCAGACACTGATGCGGAGGGCTTATCGGGGCAGCCTGCTTTTTCTTCTGTCTTAACCATGATGGCAGGAACTGTCAAACATCCAGTGAGCCTTGATCAAAGTAGAACCTTGCCAACTATCACCAGGGATGAGATCCATACCACCCAATGGCCTTCACATAATTCCAGCCAGGGCTCAGACATGTCCTCCTCATCGTCACATGTGGGAGCCAGCTCAGGTTTGACTTTTAGCATGTCTCAAAAGCACGCAACACCGCCTCAGATTGCTGGTTACACTGTATCCAGGCTGTCACGTGTATCCTTCACAAACGGAAACAACATTGTATCATTGTTTCCATCATCAACAGAGTTGACACCAATAATGTCTTCTCCATCTCCATCCACACTGTCTGTGCTTTCATCCTCCGTGCCTTCATTTTTCCTGTCACCTTCCACTGAGTGGATAGACAAAGCCCTTCAGACAGAAACAGCAGCGTTATCAGCAAGGTCTCAGGGTTGGTCAGACAGTTTAACATTCCCGCAGTCCACCACTCAGTCACTTGCTGACCTGCAATCTGTAAGACAGGAGAGACAAAGCAAAACAAGCAAACGGCCACACTCTTCAAGTGAAACCAGCATTGATAAAGACAATAAAGTAACAACACATTCATCAGTGGACAGAATCTACCCAGTGAGTGAATTATACACTAGAATTGCAACACCCAAAGAAATCCAGACACCAGCAACCAGCACATATACACTATACTCTACTCCTAACTATAGTCAAAATCTTTTAAAAATTTTGTACAGACCTACTCAAACGCAAAATCCAGGTATGAACTTTGTACCCGCCAATAATCTTGAAATGAACGCCTCATTTCCCTCTAAACTGGAGAGTCAAGCTGCTCAAAGGCAGCAGGGAGCTTCACAAAATCCCACATCAGCACTGCTGTCTGCCCATCCTAAAGGCTACTCAATTTCTAGTCATATCACACAGTGGCTTCTAAACCAAACGGCATACGTGGAAGAGGAAGTTAAGACAGCAGGAGAAAGTCACACTTTTATTCACGAAGGTCATGCCGTCATGTCATCACTCAGCTCGCATGTTGGGACTCCCACTGTGTCACCAGTAATGGCGATCACACCAGGTGAATCATTTTTTACAGTTTCCTTGGAGACTCCACCAGGTAAAGTGACGCTCTCTGAAGCTGCAATCACCAAGCTAACAGGTAGCCACTCTGGCATGATGTCCTCAGAGCATGTATCTAATCCTGGTGATTTACTGATCGCAGCGGGTCACAGCAGTCCCAGAGTCCCTGCCACTGATGTAATTTACAACCAGGGAGAGATAACGGCAGCAGAGCTCAGATCTGTTTCCACTCATGCTCACCTGAATAACTCACTTTCACTCACACAGCTGAAACCTGATTCCACTATTCGTTCTATCCCCAGTTTGAGCACCAGAACAGGAACAACATCGTCTGCACTGGAGTCAGATTTGTTAAATTTGAGACCCAGAAATATTCAGGAATCTGTAACTGGGTCTTCCAAGGGCATAACTCACTCGTACATAGATTACACAACCTCAAAAACTTTATTTTCTAGCAATAAGATAGAATCTCTTTCAGGATCTGCAAATGACATAATTTATAAAACCAGAAGCCATTCACACCTCAATCAGCCTACGTACAACCCGAACTATAATAATATAGATGAGCTATCTTCGAGAAGTGCGATATATTTTGCAAACCAACCCAAATCTGTTTCATCACCGCAAATAATTCCCTCAGAAAGACCTCTTCAAACAAGGCCTTTGCCTGATTTTTTCCATAAATTGTATACACTTAGTTTAACTTCTCAAAAATCTGAAGAGACAGTGGTGTCCTCTGATGAAACCTCTGCTCATATAAAATCAGAGGGCGTGACTGAGATCCACACAAGAGCAGAAAATAGTAAAGTATTGCAAGGTTCTCCTGTATTCAATGGAAACAATGAATCTTCTCTGATCAGTGATGCTGTGTTTTACAAGAAAGAAACTCCATCAGTGTTCGCAACACGCTTCCCATCTCTCAGGACTAAAACAGATTTTTTCATGCTGACTAAAGGGTCTGCAGGTTCTGGAAAAATCTCTACTGAAATCCCCTTTTTACCAGTAACAGCTGAACCTCTTATGAGAGTTTTTCACAGAGACAATGTGACATTGGTGGGTCATAATGAACCGTCCGAAATGACCTTAACACAAACAACAAACTCTTTTTCTCACTCTCAGGGACCAATAACTAGTGTGAATAGCAATAAATCTAATTTTCACCTGGACAGAGAAACGAACATGCCCTTCGATGTTTCCCCTGCTGTAACTACTTCCTCCAGTGATGGACAAAACAGCATGGAGACATGGAGTGCTATTTTCAGCTTGGGCACAAAACTAATGGCACCATATACAGAGTGGAAAACCACCAAGCCTATGGCTCTTGAAAGCAGTGGCTTTAAATTAGAAAGCACATCTATAACCTTTGATAGGGTAAAATCTAATTTACCAACAGTTGGTCCCTCATTTCAAAATCCAAAGCTGGAAGATGGACAAGAGCGTAATGCGTACATGCTGAATTCTGCTGATTCAACAGCTGTTGCCAGTGATCCATATCCAGCTCATCCAACTGGTGACTATCCATCTTTTGCAACTTCCGACTATAAGGAATGGAGCTTGTCCCCAGCTAATTTTAGGTCATCTGTGGCTTTTAATGTACAGCAAGATGTTTTTTTGCCCCTGTCTCATATAACTACTGATTCTGCAGCATTTTCCCAAGCTGCTCATGTTGAATTGATATATAAGACCAGGAACAGCCCCTCGCTGACAGCTGTTCCCTCTCTTGAATCTGCATTTGATTCTGCTGTCACACTTTCAAATAGCCCTGTGCATAGTATCTCTGATACTGACAGCAAGAGTAAGACAACTGATTCCATCCTGAAGGCATCAACCTTCCCAGCTGACCTGATTTCATCCTTCCCTTCTTACCCATCACCATCATCATCATCATCATCATCATCATCATTTTCATCACCATCTTCATCCTCATACATAAGACCCACCACAAGAAAAGCAACCATGGATCAAGGCACTGCATCGTTAGCCGTCTCTCTAAATGTTGAGCAATCTTCATTTCCATCATCATCACCAAGTTTGATCTCATTATTAGATTCTAATCGCTCACCGGTAGTGACTGAGACATTTGTTCTTACAGAAGCAGAGACGGATGAATTAACCGCTGGAACTTCCAAAACAGTTGGACTCACTTTCCCCAAAGAAAAAGAGGCTAGTTTAAGCCCCTCTCAATCAGTCAGAATTACCCCTTCTGCTGGGCCTACCGAGAGGACAACTCAGGTATCACCTCTGACCCCTCGACAAGACACCACGACAGCCTCTGTTAAGCTTTCCACCACTACGGCTTCAACCACAAAAACTAAAAACTCCACCACTACCACGCCTTCCCTAAGAGTCACTACGCAGTCAACCACCACTACCACACCACAGACCACGTTCGCGACCGGGAAAACCACAACCGTCAGGACTCAGTCCAACAGGAGAACATTCACACCGCCTGTCCTAAGAACGAGCCCTCCCAGGGGGGTCACGGCTGTCTTCATCTCACCTTTCACCACTACCACAGAGACTCCACCACAGCAGTGCAACATCACTGAGAGAATGTGGGTGAAAACAGGTAAACAGTACTTTTTGGAGAAGTCCTAGAGAAAAATAATATAACGATATGTTTTTTTTTATTTATTGTTCTGACTTGTTTTGTCTGTTGCCTGTCCTGTCTTGTCCTTTTTGTCTGTCTCTTAGTTGTTTCCATCTATGTGAGGAGAAACAGGCTAGACAGCATTCAGAGGCAAAACCTGCGAAGGGGACTAAGTCAAGGCCTCAGGAAAGCTCTCAATGATACCTCTGCCCAAGCACAGGTCAGACTTTCACCAGTTATTGCTTATTGTGCTACAACATCTTTTTCATGTTTATAGATGGATAACATAACTTGATTTCTTCAAATATGGTTGAACAAATGTATTTTTTTACAGCTTCTCTTGAATTGCAACTTAAGTTAACACTTTCATTATGCGTTTATGGTCTCTCTTCTCTAGTTTAACAACCAGTTTAACAATAATAGAAAAACAATATTTATTTTTCTGGAAATTACAGTCCTATTTAGAGAAGAACAGAAGATAAAGTCGGGTATCTTCTAGGGTGTGGATACCTTGTGATTGTTTCATTGACACGGTTTTAATGTCTTATGAGCTTGCCATGAGCTCATGTGAGTCAAATTCCCCTTTTCAGAGGTTTGGTTTAAAAAATAGCTCGAACCCTCAAGAACCCTAAAAAACTATTCAGCTTAGACAATAACTGAATAAATAAATACATTTTTAACACTGAAGAATTGTTTTCCCGTTGTGCACTTTCCAGAAAACCAGAGGTTTATAAGCATGTGTTACACACTCATACCGAGGACCCTCATGTAGGCTGTGTGAAAAGAAATGAAGACTAATATAGAAATTAGGTTGACTGAATGTGTCCCAGAAGGCACAGAGTGATGTCACATATTTGACTAAGTGTACCAGGATTAAAATAAGATGCACGTTAGGACTGTATCGGTGCTGTAGATATTTACAAGACACAACCTGAGTGTCTGCAGAACCCATCCATATTTCACACAATCATCTTTTTGTGTGTGGATAGGTTAGCTGTGAACCAGTCATAGTCCCTGCACTGCCAAAAGCCACCTTGTTCTTGCAGTAAGCCTCCAATACCTTCACTCAATGTGACTTAAGTGTGAGAAAAGCACCAAGTGAGGAACAGAAATGTTTACTTGTGAGGATCTACCAAAGACTTGCTCTTGTGATGATGTCAGTAAGATGGTAAACATATGAATATACGAATAAAGCACATGCAAACAATATATTTTGTTATAAAAACAGTCTTTTGAGGTCTGGAAGTGAATACAGAGAAATCTGTCTTCATAGCACTGTCACAGTCACAGTCATTGCTCCAGGAAATGTAAACTGCACCTGTGTGTGTGTGTGTTTGTGTATGCGTAGCTCAATGAAATGCCTTATTGTGTTGTATTTCTCAATCTGGAAGTATCAAATATTTGAGAGGGAGCCTTGTGTATTTGTCCTGGCGATGTGAAGGTCAGTGCTCTCACATGTTCGCTCTCTGTAGTCTCTGAAGGTGTCTTGCTTCAGTGCACTCCTGTCACCCATTTCAGCATTGCCTGGTTTCCTTTTAGTAGCACTTCTTTCTCATCCAATGAGAGGCAAGCTGTTGGCTGGGGAAATTGCTTCTGTGTTTAATTATAGGTTATAAATGGTTGGGAGGAGAGTGATGTGCTGAGCTGATGCTAAAAAGATCACGAGAAATAGACTAAATGAACTGAACCTCAGGACTAAGACCATTAAAAAAATAATAGTGAACTATTTCCGTGTCTTTCATGGAGTTAGGATTCTGCCACAACTTGAGAGTTTTTGAATGCCAATAGTGGGATCTGTTCGGTCTGCTGCAGTCTGTCACACTCTTTGAGACTGAGTTAGTGTGTGTGTGCGTGTGTTCGAAATGCAATCTCTTAATAACACCTTCACATGGGTGAAGCCCAAGAGGATGAAGTGATAATAAAGGGCTCTTTTCACAGAGCTCGTAACAAGGCTGAATTGTGAGGAAGCAGAGTGGTGACTCTCAGCTACAGAGACTAGGCTCTCAGTGTTTCGGCTAGTGGATCTCCTTGTCAGCACAGGCTTTCAGATGGGTTTAGATAACGGATTTGAATGGTTTCACCTCTCATACACGCACGCTAGATCTGCCATCATTCCCTTTTCCACTTTCACTGTACTCAGAGTTCATGAAGAAGTCAAACTCTTACTGACAAACACATACTGTATAAATTTTATTCTGTAATGAGACACAATTTCCCAAACACACAGGTTTTGCATTTATATCCGTGAACGTATTGATTCCAGTCCTCTTGTGTTAGAGGTGCAGGAACATAAGCGTCTTTGTCCCAAACTCACCTATTTAACAGTCTCGCTCATGTCTCTCTTCTCAGCAGCCCCTCAGGCCCTCATGGTTCTCACCACATATCTGTATTCGACGATCACTCCCTCCTCTTCCTGATGCTCTCATTAGTGACTTGGATAACAAGTGCACCTTCCGATTTACTGTGAACGATTTCATAGCATGTATGCAATTTCTATTTGAGTGATTTTTACTATATGGTAAGATTCATTAAAATAAATTTAAAAATCGTTCTAGTTTTTTTTAAAAGTAGAAATTTCAATTTGTTATAGCAGGAGAAGTAAAAGGTGTGGCTGATGACATTAACAAGCTATTCTATTCAGTTGTCTTACTAGTAAGTCAGCAGACATAACATATGAATCACCATGTTTGAACAACTTTATTCTACATGTGTTAATGGCCCTATACAACACACAGAAAAATGTTTCTGACAAATTGTTGTTCTTTGAGACCTTTAGAAACAAAATTCCTCTGATTATATTTTTCTCCACAAGCAGCACACCAGTGACTTGGACATCTAGTCGTTGTCTGCAAGTGATTTTCATTCTGTACTAAGATGAATAAAAAGGCAAAAAGCAGTGGCTATCTGAAAGGCCCACTTGAGATGTCACTTTACTTTTTGTGGTTGCATTGTGGGTAATGATGCAAACTGGTATGCAGTGCTGCATATAACAGCTTTATGGTGATTTGCATCATCTTATAATAAAGTATCTTTTATTCTGATTTAGGAATGTGAAAGGAACCACTCAGACCTTTAAGGAGGTTCTAAACGCAGACATTCATTCATTCATTTTATTCCTAGCCTGTAATTTATTGTTTGGATGATTTTTTTCTCTCTACAATTTTATTTTGCTTTTTATATTGTTTTTTTGGTATTGGATATTTTTCATTTTGTAATGTATTTTTATGTATTTTTTATGACTACATTTAGTGGGTTAGCATATTTGCTTCCTTCTTCTTCAGAAATCAGAATGTATTTTATCTTAATATACTGTATGTTTAAGTTTCATTAAAAGTGTAGAAGGGATCATTTTTCTTCATTAAGAATGGCTTCTTGACTGTCACCCTTCCAGTGAGGTCATTTCTAATCAGGCTTTGGCAAACAGTAGATGAATCTAATAGATGGGCCAGATGCATCTCCAAGGTCCTGTGACAGATCTGGATTTTTGCCTTTTCCTTAAGTACATAACTTTCTGATATTGATATAGATATGCTCACAGGCCTGCCACTTCTTTTGTCATCTACTTGTCCAGTTTCCTCAACATTTTAAGGAGACACTGCTGAGATATGTTGAGTTTTTGACTAGTAGCTCTTTGGAAATCACTTTGTTGGTGCAAAAACAGAATTTTATTCCTGTCAAATTATGTAATATTTGGTAGTTTTTATAGATTTGTATTAGGAAACTAGAACAATTTGTGTTTTTGCGTGTGTGTGTGTGACAGGCTGTGGTTAGAGACACAATTTAAAATAGGTTCTTTGCCAAGTTGTCGTTTTCTAGACAGAACACTGGTTCATCCCATGGTTTAGGTCACTTTTTTATTCTTGGATGATTCATAGGTATGTGTTAAGTAAAAAAGAAATCCTCTGAAAATTATTAGATATAATGACTGGACTAAAATGTCTGAATACATTTTGAAAGCCTGGAGAACTTTTGCTCTAGTTGGGCTCTAGGTATGGCTCAAAACTTTTTCATAACACTTAGCACATCATAGAAGACATGTTGAAAATACCTTCTTTAATCATGGATTTGTAGAGGTAATCATTTTGTAATTAATGGTAAAATTTAAGCAATATGGCTTCTCAAAGACATCCAACTCTCTTTTTCTTTTTCTTTCTTAGGTGGAGACTGTATTTGGTTCTCCCAACATGACAGTGGCTTATCACGTGACTGGAGGGGATATAGTTTACCCTCCGTCTGTAGTGATGGAAGGCTTGGCATCCTATGGCCGTGATAAGCTGATTGCAGACCTGCGGCAGTACCTCCCCATGGTAACAGCCCTGCCCCTCCCGGTTGCATTATGGAGACCCAGCCCAGCCACAGGCTTCCAGCTGAAAACAGGTCAGCCAGTGCTCAGTCAGGTTGAAAAGAAAAAAATAAGTCTGCTTGAGACTTGCCGTTATATGTTCCTTCTTTGACTGTGCACTGGAAGGGTATGAAGTGTGAAAAGAAATTCTGTGATACCACATCAGAGACAGAAATGGCAATATGGCATGTAGGTACTTATAAAATAAGCACAAATAAGTCAAATTCTAAATGTTCCTAATATAGTTATATACTATCAAAGATAGCAAAACACTCTTACAGGCTTTTGAAGAATTCTTTGATTTTCAGAATGCAGTTTGTCAGTTTGTGTTGTTTTTATGTTGCAGTGCTACAGTTTGTGGGAGTAGGTGATGATCCTCGGTCCTGTCGCTTCTCTCAAATGATGGAACAGAGGCTTGAGAAGGTTTTTTCCGAAGCGCAGGCCAAAGTGCTTAATGCTAACAGCAGACTCTCTGTTCAGGTACTGCGGGGGAACCTTTGTGTTCTGGTCCTGGAATTGCGTAGGCGTTCCGCATGCTGTCAGGATAGATATTGATGATAAATAACTTAATTTTGTCCCCTGTTACACTTCAGTATCACCATGTGGTTTATGTGATGTGGCAGCCACAAACAGCTGCAAACTGTGTGCAGTTTGAGCAAAATTGTCCCTAAGCATATTGGGCTGTGCCTTTTTTTTAAGAACTACTTAATTATGCTGGAGAGGCATTGGTTATATTAATTTTAATGTGCTGCCACATTAAAGTGCACCCTATATTAAAACTAATTTGGCGTTTATGCATGGATTAAGCTACTGTATTTTTGAATTCTTTTATTTATACATACATATTTCTCTGCTATCGAGATTCTTGATGATATTTATCATTAAAGACAGTTACTGTTTCCGTGCATCCCCTGTCATTTAGAAAAATATTTCTTAGAATTTGCAGATTACAGTATACAGTATAATCCTAAGCATTTTGCTCATATTACCCACACTTCTCTATACCTTGTTCTTTTTCTGACCTCGACTTTTGTGTTTTTCCTAGATGCTGAGTGTCTCTCAGGCAGCAGGATCCCCTGCTGTGTCACTGGTCTACACTGTAAAGAATGGGACTGGCTTTCTTAATGGCACTGCTGCCTCAAATCTACTTGGTCAGCTGTCAGCTGAACTAGTGGGCTACTTCCTCTTCTATCCGCCACTTATCGTTGCTGAGCGTAAGTTGCAATTTGCATTCTTAAGTGAGTGTTAGTCATGAGTAATGCAACAGACCCTACAAGAACAAGCATCAGAGGTAGTTCTTGGGTTCTCCTGGCAATGATTTGTTCTCTAAATACAAAAGAGATTCCAGATTTTTCAGGTTGTGTCTCACAGGGCTTTCATGTTTGGCTCTAGTTGTTTGGACACTGAAACTTTAGTATTGATTAACTATGCTAGAAATCATGCCCTAGTTAATTTAATGCATTCTGAGCTTTTTGCATTCACATGGACTCAAAAAGCTTCTCTAGGCATTGGCAAAAATCATAAATTTCTTTGCTAAGCCTGACTGACATCCAGTTTTTCAGTAATTGGATGTTTTTGACTGTTCTTATGCTATTACAATCACAATTTTACATTTGAGTCATTTAAAGAAAGTTGATGAAAAGACACAACTAAGCCTCTGCCTTTCATCTCAGCCTCCTTTGAGGGCATAGTCAGCATCCATCTGTGTTAGCATTGTACTTGGAATAAAATAAAGAGTGACAGGGAATCAGCAGGAGTCTAAACAGCAATCCCAGTAGCGTCCTATGGCAGCCTGTTACTATCCCTTGTGTAACTGCTCAGTGGATGGAGATATGGTCGACATGGACCTCAGATGCATGCAATATAATGAGACTTATTTTTATGGTACGTTATTAATCCCTAAAGGAGGGATTGTGTTGTTTTGCTTGACCCGGTTCACAGTAAATGTACAATAAAGGTTCAGCAACAGAACTACTCTGATACACACACGCACACACAAACAGGATTTTACCCAGAAATCGCCTGGAGATTTTTTGTGCTTCAGTCTATGTCTATCATCAGCAACACTTCACATAATGGCTTCTGGATTTGTGCTTCCTTGATGCGCTGCAGTTTGTGTAAACAAAAGCAATGGGACCTTCAGAATGTGTTAACCAGAAGAAGCAAGTCAGCAACAGCTAGATATAATCTATCATGTACCCTGAAGTCAACCTGTCATATTACATCGCACATTTTGCTTGAAACCCCTGCAGATAATAGCCAAATGCATGGAAGAGGAAATGATCTTTCGTATTCAGCAGTCATACAGCGAGGCACTTTTTCAGTTTTTTCTCTTGTCTTTGTCGGAGTTACGTTTTGCTCATTACAAGTTCATACAAAAGGTATGTTTCCTAACCTGAAGGCATCCTGTGCAACACTGAGAGCAGTGATGTCCTGCTCATGCTTTACCAGTAGCATTATTATCTTAAACATTATATGTGCAAAATGGGCCTTAGTGTCTTGCATTATGTAATCCAGTGTAAGCAAACCTGTTATCTAGCTCAAACAGGTCTGGAGAGATTCTATTTAAAGACTCACTGGGTCAAGCAGACTTCAGGAATACAGAGGAAGCCACGGGACAAGCTGTGGATTTAAAGAGGCTGATGTATTGAAACTGCACCTCTGGTTAGCTTTCTATTCAAGCAGAAACAAGTCTCCCAGCTTGATTGCAAAAGTTTCTAACCAGGTTCAGTGCTTGAATATTTCTAGACTGTGGTCAGTTTGAGAAATTGTTAATCATTGGACTTGGACATGGTCATGGTCAGGATCACACCAGAGCTGATACTTTATATAGGACTATAGGCTTCCTTGCAATAACCTCTGCCTGAGTTCAGTCTTAGTTACATTTTATTTTAACTTTTAGTCTTCTTCATGTTCTGTTGTTGCTAAGGACATTGTGAGAAGAGACCAAACAGATTTTCTAACCTTTAGACTCAACTTGTTTGGATCTTAGAAAGATTCAGAACTGAGTGTTAATGTTTGTCAAATAGTGGTAATAATGTTTTCCATTCACATCACCAATAGGAAGTAATTTAATAACATGCCAGTGACTGTAATGAATCCTCATCTTGTCTTGTGAATTTTCTTATTTCTTTGAATCCTTTTATAGCCTCTATATTTTCAGTCCACATCAATTTTCTGTATGGTTTATGTTTAGTAACAAGTTAAAGGAAATTGTTATCAAAATATATGAGATTTCGGAGTCATGAGTCAAAGATAGTTGCATTTTCTCCATCCCATATGAGCTCAATAAAGCTATATATAATATCTAGAGTGTCAACAGTGTTGCACTCATGTTAGCCTAATCAAGATAGTACTTCCTATGTACTGGGAAGGAGAAAAGCCTCTAAAACTGAATTTTAAGAAGTAAGATGGTCCAAAGGTTGTGCTGCTGAGACAAAACAAAATGGGGTACTACCTCTAACAGTTAAAAATACTAAATGAAGATCTTATGTTTCAAAAGCATATACTTGCCTGTCTAGAAAGAGCAGTTTCCCTGCTCGTAGCCTGGTGTGTCCTGTGCAGAAGAAAGAAAACAATCTAAGATTAAATATTTTACATTTGGTTTGCGTCTTCCAATCTGACAAATCTGGGATCTGACCTAAGTGCCTCTGAGGATAGATAGCAGTCTTGGGTTTCACATTGTTGAAATCAAGATAGATAGGATTTCCAGTAGTGAGCATTAAACTAAAAACCACTTTGTGTTGAGCCTGAATTAAGTTAGAAAATCAAGTTGCCTACAGGCATATTGTTTCAGTTGCTGAGCACAGAAAGAGAGGAAGGCAATCTCGGTAAAAAGAAGAGACAGAGGGAGCAGATACTGACATGGAGGAAAATGCCAGAGAGACAGTGGGGTTAAAGACAGAAGTGTGTAACAGTGATTTTGTTTGTTTTGTAGCCTCACAGTTAGTGATATTACACTGCTCACAGGAGGTGCAAGCATATGCCAGCAGCGGCTGCCTCCTCACTTCAAAGCCAATTATTGCAGTAAATAATTAACTGTGGGGGATTCTCATGCCACCTTAGGCTCTGCTCTGACAGCAAAGGCCCGCGATCTCATACGTTCCAACGTGCAGTCTGGACTGCTGAGCTCAGCTCTTTTACACCCCCTGATTTGCAACAACCTCTCTCAAATGTAATGACTGAAGCTATTTGGAAATGTTACCATTTTAGACTAGATCATTTAACTTTTCAACATGTGAAGGTACAAAGTAGAGAAAATTAATAATAGCTTTTGCTGGAGAGCATTTGGGATTTTCAACGTTCTCATCAGAAAACAGCAGGGGTTCACGCAAAAGCTTGCTAAACCTTGCTGATTAATAGTTCAAATGACTGAAGCTTATAGACAGCACTGAACTGATTTTGCTGACAGCCTTTCAGCCCTATCCATTATTGTTGCTAAAGCCCTTACTATTCCTCTCACCGTTCTCCCCCACCCGTCTCTCCTGTCATGCCTGAGTGTACAGTTCTGTGAGTGTGCTTTCACAGACCACTGATACAGCATTCCCCAAAACACTGCACCAGTCTCTAGCACAACAGCTTAATCAGGCAGGAAATAGATGTAAGAGAACACAGAGACAACCAGAGCTCAGACTGCTTAAAGCTTCCCTTGCTTCTGTATTTGTCTGACTATCAGTGATAATGAGGCTTTAAAGTGAGATATCAACACACAAAATGTGCCAAACCTTCAACGGCTTACTGTACATTTTTCTTGAAAGGTTTCAAAAGTGTTGGTATGTTCGGCTCAAATTAACACCACCAAAATGATACATTCACACTTGCATCAATATATGTTGAGCTTTTTTTGCATTGTTGATTATATTCAGGTCATATACAATTGTGCAACTGAGCATTCATTGTAAAATCTCAGCGTGCAAAGGCAAATGTAGGCTACACTACTGTGTGGAAATCGTATATTGGTATTAACTTTGCTTTCAACTTTTTTCTTGTCATTACAGCAATGGAATATCACAATCTGAACACTTCAATAGCAACCAGAGACTTCTGGGTTGTTACAGGTAGGGATATCATTGCTTACTGACTGTTAAAATCAGAGCTTTGCTCTTGCTTTGTGAGTGGATTATTTACTTATGAGTCGCCATTTACTTATGACCAGTATTCAAATGCAACCAATTCCCAGTCCTCCAACGACATCCTAGAACATTCTACTTCTACAGTTTTGAAAATATTCATGGGAACTTTAAGAAATGAACTGATGAACTGTCTCATTCCAGAGGAGAAATAAAGTACAAAATGAGTCCTAGTAAATGTTTTCAATGTGGGTGTTTTTAAATGACTAAATTGGCTGAGGAGCAATACACTGATCAGCCTCAGAATTAAAACAACCTGCTTAATGTTGTGCAGATTTTCACTATAGTGCTAAAACAGCTGTTACTGTATCTGTTGGGATGTGGGCATGCCATGTATGGTGTTTAGCAACAGATCCTTTGTGCTCTGTGGGTTGCTGTGGGTGGGGCATCCATTAATTGGGGTAATTCCAGTACGTTCTGCAGACGCTCTATCTGATTGGGATTTAGGAGAGTTTGGAGGCTTTGACAATGCACATATTGTTGATTTTCTAAAGCCTTTCCTGATCAAGTATATCAGCGTGCAAGGGTGTAATGTTCTGCTTTGAGGGAGGGAGCAGAACCCTGGTTGTCCGAGCAGAACATTTCATTATAATGAGACGGTCAATAGTATTTGCGACAGCTGTCAGGGGTTTTAATGTTGTGGCTCATTGGTTGTTGTATATCTCTAAGTTGTCAAACGGAACGAGTCTTTCAGATCACAATCTGTTGCTCTACACCTACTCCAGTGACACTTTGAATAGTTGAAAGTCAGCCCCACACTGAAGATGAGATCCAACCAGAATTATAGCTTTTCTGCTTTTTCCTATTTATAATAAGGTTTTGAATGTCTCATAAGTTCATATCAGAATTAACAGTGCTTTGGCAGCACTTTAACTAAGTATGGTCATGCCAATAATGAAAGCTGAATTGAATTCCGAAGCAAGCTACACTATATTACAACCCGCACACACACAGACACACACATTTCCAACTGTGCCTCTGTCTTTTCTTTTGTACTCCCTTCTGCCCTTGCCAACCATGTATTTTTTTTCTCTTCACAACAATCTGGCCATCCTCTTTATTTCAACTACATTTGCAGTGATCCAGGATGTGGATAATGCCAGCCTGGAGGGACAGTACCAAAGCTTCGCCAGTCTAATGGAACAGCGCCTGGCAGAGTTGTTTGTGTTGGCGGGCCAGCAGGGCACTCGTTTTAGACGAGCAACGACTGTAGGCAGCTACACTGTCCAGGTAAGAAACTGGCACTGCAGCCTGTAGGGAATGCCAGTCATCTAAGATTCTTATTCTGATGTTTTGCCTGACTGCCTTGGCATGTCAGAAGTCAGATTAGTCAAATTTGTTTCGTGGGCTTTTTTCTCCCAACAGTATGAATATTTCATAAGATGTACACTTTGATACGCACTTCTGCACATGCTTGCACGATTATTTGTGGTCAACCCCTGATAATTAGGTAGCTTCTCCGCTCATCATGTGGTAATTGCTCATCAAAACAAGTCAGAGGTTAAATATTTTACCCAACAAGTCCTTTCTTTTTTCATACAGTTTTTCATCTTAAGAAACTCTCCTAAATGCATGATTTTATTTTTGTTGTATTTTGTGAAATTAAAGTTGGTGCATAAGACATTGTAATAGCAATTGAATAGGTTTATGCTGATTGTACAGCAGTTCACACACACACATCCCTTTTCATACCCAATCAGATGGTGAGCATCCGCCGGATCTCAGGGTTGAAGAATCCGGCCGAGATGACCTACTATGTCCAACACAATGGCATTCCTTTATTGGGCACATCAGCTGCCAAGGTCCTGAACACAGTGGATTCTCAGACTATGGCGCTCACCCTGGGCTACTTTGTCCAGGTGCAAGCAGAACGTAAGCAAAGCATCCTTCTAGCATTTGACAGCTAGGAAAAGTGACACAAACACAGAGACAGGCGAACCAAAACACATGATTCATGCCGAGTTTGGAAAAGAAAAGCTGGTGTTGTGGTGAGAGACATAGAAGAAAAGGTTGAGAAAGCTCTTTGCTGTCTAATCTCTCTGAAATGCTCCCAGCGGGACATTGTTTGTTTGGGCTACAGTGCAGCTTGCTGCTAAGAGAAGAGACAAGGGGGGAAAAAAGGGTGAGACAGAGTTTGTGGGTGGCAGGTGTGGGAGGGGGCATGCAGCATTCTCCTATGCATTGGATTGTCGCCTGCAATAGCTGAATGAGGCGTAGTGTATGTCAGCTTGAGCTGTATGCAGTGGTGCAGTGTAATGAATGATTCTTCATGTTTTGTCAATACAACATGCTGAGGACTTCATTATATTTTAATGAGCAAATCAAAGGACAAATGGTTATCATTTAGAGCCTACTGGATGTCATAAAGTAATGACAGGTAAAAAACAAACAAACAAAAAAACAAAACAAAGAAACAACAAAAAATAAAACAACAACTTATTTAAATTTTTTTCAGCTGTCGTCAAGAACCCTCCTAATAACCTTTGGATAATCGCTGCTGTTTTGGCCCCGATCTCCGTAGTAACACTCATTATTATCATCATCACAGCTGTGCTGTGCAGGAAGAATAAGAATGACTTCAAAGCGGATGCCATCGGTAACCTTAACCCTCGAGCTAAGGTATTTATCTTATTCATGTACTGAGCTATATTTTGGTAATCAATTCATTGTTTAAATATATTTTCAGGCTTCGTGACCATTTGCTGCTTGTCTTAATTTGAAGGCTTGGATTCTTGGCTAGACAAAGACGTGAAGACCTTGAGTTCAGGGTCTTTTTTTTCCTGATAGAACATTAAGAGATGTACTGTCTGTCACTTTATTTAGTAGCTACAGACTACAGATTGTGTGATGTCTGCCATCTGTCATTGCGTGATCAGGGTCAGTGATGCTGGGATATGTTAGCGACGTTTTGTTTGTTATTCTTTCGGATTTTGTGTTTTCTGTATTTTATTCCACAGTATCTGCGTTATCCCATTTCAGTGCCCTCTTTTAACGCATTAGCAGAATCCTAGTCAATTCTGAACACAAACCCAAATCACACATATAATGTTTAAAACATTTTCTCTGGCTTTTAGATGGCGTACCGGAGAGATGTGGGCTATTATCACCAGGTATCTATTTCTCTGTATTCCTCCTCATTACTGATCTGTGTTTTCATTTTCAAGGCTCAGCTGTGCCAGCAGTGGGATTTGAATGGGATTTTGGGCAGACAGCAGCTATTATATATTGTAATAAATCCTGCTGTGCTGATGGAAACTAAGGATACAACAGGAATTCTGACTATCAAACCTGCAACAATGAGATTTCCCTAGATAAAAGAATGGCATTGCCTGTACTTGTTACAGTATAGCAGTCACCACATGACAAATCTGAAAGACTAAGGCTTGCAAAGAATGGTTTACCAGCAGAATGAGCGCTTTTGTTTGTGTGTATGCTCACAATTGCTTAGTTTGTGTAGAGAAAATGGAAAAGTGGTTTAGTTATTGCTCCATTCAGAGTTTCTGTAATTACCTAATATCTCCAGCTGCATGCGTGTCATTTTTGGACTCAGTAGTTTACTGACATACATCACTGTAGATACATGAAGATGCAAAGTATAACTCAGCGTATCCCACTGTCTTATTTATGAACTTTCATTAGTGAGAAAGCAATAAAGTCTTCGTATTAGACTGCAAAAGCAACTTCAGCACTGCTTTCAGAGCGCCAATTGTACACACAGGTGTTGCATGATGTAAAAAACCCCACCATACCAGCTAAATTCTATAAAATATGAAATACTCAATGTTATGAAAAATCTTTAGTGAAAGAATATCCGATTCCTTCTAATAAGTAATGTAAAAACCCTCAGTTGCTCAAAGATAGCTTCAAATAGGTAAAATTTAAATGAGTCTCTTGTGCTAGCTCTTCTACATTACTCAGCGTCAGCCAGCCAACTCGTTTCATCACACACCCTTGTTAGAGTTTTCTCTTTTGAAACCAGCAACAGGAGGGGTTTCAGTTAGTGAGAAGACAGGATTCAGTGAAAATCGTTTCTCTCTCTCTCTCTGTGTGTGTGTGTGTGTGTGTGTGTGTGTGTGTGTGTGTGTGTGTGTGTGTGTGTGTGTGTGT